AAAAATCTTATTAAAAAAACCACTGTACATAAAATTTACCTTAAACATGTCTCAAATTTGTAGGGGGAAATTCGTAGGGGAGATAGGCATGTCATCATAAATTGCGTTAATAATTTATATCAACCCTAAGATACAACTAATTAAAAAAAATAAGAGAATGGTAAGTAAACCAAGAAAACATCTATATAGCACAATAAAGAAAAAGTATTACATTTTAAAGCTAATAAGCAGGCTCATTCAGAATAAGCTGTCAAGACAAAAACATCTTCATCAGGGCTCTTTGCACATGCAACACAAATTTAAATTACTACTATATGTAGTCGTCGCAACATTTGAAAAATGTATGATCTTACAATACCTAATCTAAAATTCACACAAGTAAACCTAAAAATAGTTTATCAATATATGAGACACTATTACACCTTTAATGCAAAAATAACTATCATTTATGATAGAGTTGACCTGTAGTTTAATGCTTGCAAAGACTGTGACAAGAAGGTGGATAAAAATCCTAATAAGAGTGTCCAGATGATAAATATCATAGGATCGCCGATGACCTAATGCTAAGGTTAAATAATATCTCTTCTTCATGAAATAAGTGTTAGGAATCTTGACCCCAAGATTAGTTTATTTTGATGATAACAAATATTATATGTTGTGTGTATTATGTGCTAACATTTATTTTGCAGTATCAGAGCTATATCAATAATTATATTCAAAGAGATACTCAAGACATAGATGAGTTCAAGGCAAAATGAAGCAAAGAAGAAGAAATATTTTATTATCAAAATGTAATTTTATATTTTCTTTGCTTAGAAATTTGTACAAGCCTTGATCACTCACACACATTCACACATATAGTGTTAAAACACACTAACACATACTTAGTGTGTTGGTTAACAATAGAAATCCCCTATGTTAGCTATTAGAGTTTATAGATATTGAGTAAGTCTTAAAATATTTCATTTATACCCCTTATCAATTAGAATCTGGAAAAACTTAAAAGATCAAAGTTGTAGGTCTCTTCAAGAGCTTTCCAACAAATCTTAAATCACCTCATTCCGATATCGGATGAGAAAGTTACAATCAAAATACTGAAAAGAAAATTTCAGAATCTGTGAGTTTACAGTGTAGTCGACTACTATGCCTTGTAGTTGACTACTAAGCAATTTTCTAACTTCACAGAGTCTGTTTAGACTTAGTGTAGTCGACCACTATGACTTGTAGTCGACTACAGATGTAGTTTTTCCAGATTTTAGGTTTTGAATAAGTGACTGTTTATAGCCGTTTTGTGTACGTTTTTAGGGGTTGAAAACTTATCTTTTCAAGGGCTATAAATAGGTTATAAGTTCACAAATTTGCACAAGTGCATATTCACTCTCTAGTTTTCTAGATTTTCATGCTAAGTGTTTAGAAAAAGAGAGTTTCTGATATTGCATTGGTTTCAATCATTCTTAGAGATTGTATAGGCAATATTCAGAGAGTTAAAAAATCCTAAGCCACTGGTGTACTTCACTACACATTCAAGGCTTATAGGATCAATTGTGTTCTTGCTTCAAAAAGGATTTCTCTCGGGTTTGAGAGGGTTGATCTCTTGGTTTAGAGATTGGTTGGCAATTGGCATGGTCTTGTCAATTGAATTTGTAATTTGCATGGTCTTGCAAATTAGTCAAGTTTGTTTTTGATTTTGTAAGGTTTCAAAATCATAGTGGAAACTCTCAAGTGGAATTTGCTTGGGGACTGGATGTACACCAGGGAGGTGGAACCGGTATACATGCTTGTGTTTGTGATGTTTATTTCTGATATTGTCATTCTTTCTTTGCAATTTATAATCTAATTTGCAAACTCACCCTCTAGTGTTAAAGTGTAAAGCTTCCGCAGATTTTTATAAGAGCGTACTCTATTCTTAAGGGTCACGATCCTACACTTGGTATACATAAGCAAAATCAGACCCTACAATAAACATATTAAAATCAAATATTGATGTTATAATATAAGGCAAATTGATGAAATATAATTATTTAGTTCAGATCCTCGTAGAAAATGACATGGATAGAGCAAAAGTAATATTATATTGACGCATCAAAAACCCTTATTGGATGCACAATAGATGAATTCATTGCAAAGAAAAAAGAGGTAACTCTTAATCTTATTTAAGTAATACATTAGAAACACAAAAAAAATCTCATATATAAAATTAACATTTATTCTCATTGAAACAGAAAAATAATCAGAGTCTATATTTCCAAAAGTTTGTGTTCGGAAATACATTCAACTTCTTTTGTAAAGTAAGACAAGAAGATAAAAGATGAAAGAGCTCATGAAAAGATAACAGCACAAGAAATTCAGCTCCAGCCTGATGTCACAATTGATGTAGACGATGAAAACACTACTCTCGAATTGCGCGAAAAAAATAGAAGTGGAGAAAGATTGATCTTGACTCAATTAAAAAATAAACAAAATGAATAAAAGACATGAATGTTTTCTAAATATTTATAGAATAGTTTAATTTTTTTAGTAAAATTAGGAATCTTTAGAAGAGATTTTCATGAACTTTTTAAGTACTTTTATATACTTATGTGGATGCTTTTATCATATAAAAGATACTAGAGTTAGCATCAATTTTTAGTTTTTAATTTTATGAAGTCTATCAATGATTATGAATAAACTTCATATTCTATTTAGTTTAGTTCTAGCTCACTTTTAATCAATTATCTTGGCTTATTAGCTTTAATTATTCATCTTTTTTCGTAACGCTATTTTCCAAGTGTTTTTACTTTCGCAATACTATACTTTCTCAAGCCAAGCTTAGTTTCATGTCGGTCTAAATAACATAAAAATTCAAATTGGCTTTGGATACATTTATTTCCTATCAATTCAATTATCAACATAAAAATTTTAAATTCGGTGTAACCCATTCAAACAAACATAAAAAAAATTACAATGCTAAAGTTTAGAGTCATAAGTGATCAAAAACTATCAAAGTAATTAAAACCGAGAGATAAATTTTAGTAAGAAAATAAATCAAAATACTTAATCATGACATTTAACCACGTACAATGCACGTACATAAAACTTAATACTAAAATGAGCATCGTTCAAAAATAAAGGTTCATGGAACAAGTGCTCAATTATACATGCTAGGAAAGAGGTAGGTTAATTTCAAATTAATTAAAGAATACATTTAATTAGAAAACTAAAAAAATCATTTAATTATTATGTCTTTGTAGGCTGTCTAAAAATCACAATAGATAGTTGATCCCCCATCAAACACCGATGATGGAAGTTACAATCTGACGACTTCCAGAAGGCTACAATTTGAGGACTTTCACGTTGAAGGTTACAATCTGACGACCTTCACAACAACTAATGAAGGCCCCAATTCAACAGCCTTCACAATCAACATCGGGAGTTACAATCTGATAACTCTCATATTTTCAAGGAGCCAAGACGAATGTTACAAGATTATGTTCTGAAGTCCGTCTGCAAGACCAGACTTCGTCAGAACATTGGACTTAGCCTGAAGCTCGCCAAGCCCGCCTAAGGTTCGCCTCTGCATTACAGAGTCAAAGCGCACAGGTCGAACCAGCGTTATAACCTTAAAACGCAGAGGTTATCCTCGTGATATAACATCAAAACGCAGAGTTCATCTCTAAAACAGCACCAACTGTGCGTTTTCAGCCTTTAAACAAGCCCAACTCTGTGTTTTCAGCCTAAAACGCAGAGTTCATCTCTAAAACAGCACCAACTGTGCGTTTTCAGCCTTTAAACAGGCCCAACTCTGCGTTTTCAGCCTAAAACGCAGAGTTCATCTCTAAAACAGCACCAACTGTGCGTTTTCAGCCTTTAAACAGGCCCAACTCTGCGTTTTCAGCCTAAAACGCAGAGTTCATCTCTAAAACAGCACCAACTGTGCGTTTTCAGCCGGCCAACTGTGCGTTTACAGGCCCAACTGTGCGTTTTCAGGTCCAGAAACGCACAGTTCGGGCCCAGAACGCTGTTTTCAGCGTTTGACTCGTTCAAGCACGATTTGAACGGTTCCAGAACCGTTTTCTCCCCAAGATTTTAGGGGATCACTACCCTATCAAGGAGAGATTTAAGGGGGCGGTTACACCCCTAAATCCCCTATAAATAGGGGAAAACTCAACTGAGTTCGGGAGCTCTTTTTTGGCTGACTTTTTGGGGATCCTTGATCGGGCATCTTTGAGCTTTCTGCAGCAACAGAGAGCTTTGGAGATCAGCGACTTGAAGGAGCTCTTGAATCATTTTGGAAGGCTTTTATTGAAGCTTTTGAAATTATTCGGCCTTGGCTTATTAACCGACTTTCAGTTAAATCAACTCTTCCATAGAGTTTCAAACTCGTTCAGAGTTATCAACTCATTCAGAGTTATCAACTCGATCAGAGTTCAAAACTTGCTCTGCAAGTTCTTTTAAAACTCACTCTGAGTTATTAACTCGTCAAGAGTTATTTTTAAGACTTGCCACGCAAGTTCTCCACAGCGTCAAATCGTGAGTAGAAGACCACGTTCCAGTGAATCAAGACGTTCGGATCGTCAACGAGAAACAAACTCGACGCGAGCATTCGAGGGAGGCATCTCATCGCCACCGTGAAAAACCCAGAATTAAATAAAGGGGAGAATCAAATTCATTCTCCTCTCTTTTGTAATCGGAATCTAAATTGTAATTGATTTTAAGAGGAATACAAGTCAATTTTTCTTTCATTGTCTTTTTACTGCAAATTTCCAACAAACAGTCTTCAATTAGTATTTTTGCATTTATCTTGATGATATACGAAGCATGCCACTAATAATAGCACTTATATAACAATGTTTTAACATGTAACATGGTAAATGAACGTGTTTAAAATTTTAGTTTCTCCGAAAAGACCAAGGGGACGATAACTATAAGAACTTATACCATGAGGGTCACGAACAATTCACAGCTAAAAGCCGCTTGTCCCTTTTTTCCGCTCTCACCTCAGCACAGACAAGGTCTGATCAGGATGAATCAAACAAAGTCTTTAAAAAAACTAAATATGAAACGTTATACAATTGGGAGGAACATCTCTCTTCTAATGGTCACAAATGGGTGGGATAAAATAATACATATTAAGGACCAAATCAGAGCTTCCCTAGAGAAACAGACTCAATAACTTACAAACACAACAAATAAATAAAAACTGACTTCTGCTAAATCAAACCAATGAAATAAAAAAAATGGAATAAATGTGCTCCGGTTACATAGTACTGCTGCTTTCGCTGGCAGAAATCGAGGAGTTCTCTGACTTCACTGCAATGGAACCCTTACTAATATCCAGACCCTGAAGTGATCTGCCGAGAGGATCCTGCTGCATTATATCGCAAAGAACATGGCGATGATTGAGCATCTGGTGATCCGATAGGCTGGCATGAGACTGATGATTGAAAGTTTGCTGCATCGGAGCAAGTCCTTGGTGGTGACCTGACTTCTGTTGCTGAGGAAGAGAGAAGAATGCTGGGGTGAACGACATCTGTTGAAGTCCTGATCTATAGCTTTCGACAGGGTTCACAATTTCACCTGTTGCAATCTTGAGCCTCTCGACTTCCTGCTTCAGTGCTTCATTCAGTGCTGCAGAGAAAATACATGGGGATATGTGATTTATTCAAAAAGCAAATAGGCTTTTATAAACATGCACTACATTCTAATTTTTCAGTTTTGGAGTAACTGTGTGGCGTACCACTGAACAATTGTGGGAAATGTGTCCTGCACTAAGAGTGGACTCTTGCTGTGAGACTTAAAAAAAAAAAAAAGAAACTCGGAGATAGTTTGAGTTTATTTTCTACCAAAAAAGAAGTTATTTTTTACTGTAAGTAATGGCATGGAAATTATCCATCACAAGCACACTTGATTCTAACTTGCATTGTCTTCATATGATGCCATGTTTGCATGAATAGGAAAGAAGTGATAGAAATTATCGGTGATTTTGGAAGGAAAGGAACTTGAGAACATCTAGATCTGCAAATTAAGCAATAACCATCATCGTTGAAAAGTAGTATAGCACTTACAATGCCAGATGCTCATTCAACTAGGATAAAATGACTCCTGACTAGAGCAGTTAACAGAGTCAACTGCATGTAACATAAACTATCTCAAGCATATCCTGTCTTATAGTCAACTAAAGCTATCTGCAACTTCGAGCATACACTAATTTCTTTTCTTATCTATTAGCATATTGCTGCTCATTTATCTCAAAATTTACATTTTCTCTAAATTTATTTTTGGACATGTGACGTCTTAATTCCTCAGCATATGGTAATGTAGATATAGATATAGGTATATATATATATATATAGTAATTATAGTGATCATATATAGTATACCTATAAATATACAGCAATTTACTCCATCAAACTTAATTGATATCCCACCAAAGGTTTGGTAGACTACGACCATTTATGTATTTATTAATATAACAATGACCTTTTTATTAATACAAGGATCCCTAGAGCAATATGAAACTGGCCTTAAAAACTTATCGCGTGGAAACTACTGATCGTCCCTATCGCACCCTTTAATGTGTGACATCAAGTTTTCGACCTATATACACGATTTATTGAATATGAGAACAACATTTCTCTTATATCATACAAGCGGCATCCCTAGGCAATATGGAGTGAGTTAGAAACTTGCGTGCCGGACACACTATTTCCCTATCCAACTTAAGTTGCACACAAGTTTTTATTCTATCTAATCGGTATAATATATATATATAGTACTATAGTAAGATATACTATGTATATACGGTATAACTATAAGATGACTATAGATAGATAGCTGATAGGTAATACTTATAATATAGTAGGTATATATAGCAAGAGAGCAGGAGAAGAGCAGAGCGATGTCAAGGTCAGACGAGAGCAAGACTCTATCACTTAGTGGTAATAGCCGGAATAGTTATTCACAAAACTTTTTAGGTCACTCATTTATTTAATATACAAAAAAGTCTCTTGCATATCATGCAAGACCCCTAGCCAAGATTCCCATGCGATAAAAAGTTTTAGGCGCTGCGGGACACACTATTTGATCTCATCATGCC